TTACCTAATTCTGCAAGTGCGCATAAACGATATCCGTGATACATTAAATGCTCTTTGTATCGTCTGACTAGTGTGAAACAGTGGTGAGAACGGGTAACAAAAAATTATCATGTGAGAATATTAAATACAGAGTAGATACCCTACTAAGAAATCACGAGTCGAATAGACACATAATGTATAGTGTATGGAGCAGACGTGGAGTGAGTGTGGTATGTATGATCACGTGTGAATTAAAATGTACGGAGTCAGATAAGTGCTACGTGAGTGACGTACGAGGGTAAAAGCGGCTGCGGAAAGGACACTGCAGGGTTGTAAGCCAGAACGACAAGGTGAGAAGGATGGATGTTCAGGAGTCAACTAGTCATGTGACAGGACATCTCGCGTGAGGGGACAGTGTGTAAATAGAATCAAGTAGAGAACAAAGGGATAGATAAAAAATAAAGAAAAAATGCGATGTGACACCATAGTGAAAAAGATAATGGTAGGGGAGAAAAAAAGATGATGAGACAAGGTACAGGATGACATACTCGTGATGGGAATGATTGCGTTTGTATGATAGGTCATGACATATCTAAGACGACACATATCAGAGGAAAGTGTGGTAGTGACAACTGATATGGATCACTGATCGGGCAGGTAGCGATGAGCAAGCACAGGATAGTCAAACAGGTCTGGTGTCTCGTATGTGCTAACGGATAGGTATATACTCACAAGCAGATGATGAATGTATACAAAGGTGGGGAAGACACTTAGCTCTATCAGCTCTTATAACTATCAGAGAGATATTATTCAAGTCAGGCCGAGCGGATGAGACTGGGTGCCATGACATTCTGTAGATAAGTAGGTCTCAGTGGGGCATAAAGCGAATAGGGAAAGGAAGAGTAGGAGCTAACCAATTAGGAAAGCGAACAGGGCGAAGTACAACAGACAGTGGGGGTAAGGATGGGTGGTGATGGGGTGGGTGAGTAGGGAAAAGGAGAAGTGCAACGTAATCTGACGGGAGGGATCTATGGAAGTATCTGGTGTGCCGTGTGGGAGTAGGAATGAGGGAGGAGACATTTGAACTGTGATGTAATGTGAGCGTGTACATAAACAAAGAGGGTTTATACACGAAATTATGATGAACCACAGAAGATGTGTGAGTTTGTATATAGATAAGTGCATAGGGAGTGGGATAGAATGGAAGAAAACATAAAAAGAAGAGAACGATGGGACAATAATGAGTCGAGTGTGTACTGATACATCTACTGGAAAAAAATGGCAGGAAAACTATGTGTCTACAAAGCAAAGCTGGGATTAGGGACCTGAAGAAAAAGAAGCTCGTATGTGTGTATGAGCGTACTCCACAATATTGGTATAAAGAGTGTGCGCTAAAAGTGACATATTCAGGAAGGATACATGAGTGGGCAGACCCACGAAATCACAGTGTATATCAAGCCTTCAACATGGTTACTTGCATATTTATTAATTTGTGGTCGTCAGTATTAGTGAACAAGCGGTGACGCTCCTGCTCAGCTCACAGGAAACACAAACGTGCAGAGACACAGATCACTGGGGTGCTGTTCACTATACAAATCATAAGCGACGTGAGTCCTGAGGAATGATATTCAAGTGAACTGGGATTTGTATCGTGGGTATGGGCGACAGAAGAGCTAACACATAGAAAGGGTAGGGAGTACAGTAGTCGGGGGCCTTAGTGGCGACACGTTGAGGCTCGCGCAGTGAGCAGCGGCACATGGGGAGGATATAGGACATATAAACAAGCTATAAGGTATGCGGAAACGTTGGTACAACAGAGTGCTGCGTCCAAAGAGACGTGTGTCTATCAGTATGTAATTGTCTGGTTATCGTCGGATATTGCCATGGTAAGATGTCAAGACATAACTCACTATTATGTAGACAATCTCACTGTGGAAGAAGTGGTGTGGGTGTCATACGGAGACACATACCAGCTGCAGAGGCAAAAAGGTACAAAAGTACGTGTAAACAGGAAACTCAAAAGTTGGGAACAAGAGAGAAGCTAAGCAGGGATATGGTGGCAGAGTTGTGTGTCACGGTAAGTAGTGTAGGATGCAAGAAAGGTCAATATCTGAGTTCTAGGGATGAGGTGTAGACTAGACACTCAGCACATGCATGGTAAACTATAATAGGATGAGAAGAGTTACTGCAAATAACATATGTGCTGATATCAGTAATAGGGACAACTACCAACTCAACACTCTGATAGAGGAATACAACTACACACAGTGAGTGAGAATCTCTGTCCCTCAGTATTGGAGTACAAATGGCAAAATGAATAGAGTTGATACAGACAGGAGCCAAGAATGTAGCGGACCAGTACCTACTGCAGTATGGGCATGAGAGGAAATGGTGGGCTTGTTGTGGGCTGTGGTGGGAGCGTTATGCACGATCACTTGACTGTGGGGCTTGTGAGGGTGGTGTGACGTTAGAGACAGAAACTCAGAAAATAGGTCATCGTACTAGAGACATGGAGATATAGTCACAGTCATGTCAGTGGCCCAGAGGTGGTCCTCCCCCTGTTAGCATAATGTGCTTGGGAATGGAGGTGAACGGCGAATCTTACGACGATATCCTCGGGCAAAGGCGCAACGGGGGCACACGCTCATTGTGCTGAGGTATACCGTGTTCTCCCGACACATATCTCGATTATATAGATAATAAAGTCGGGGGGAGAGGGAGAGATGGATGGGTGTGGTGGAACAAGCAGTGGTGCGAGTGTGGGATAGAAGCAAAGTACAGGAGTGGGGCATTCCGGCGTGAGGAAAACCAAGCGCGTGGATACACACTCGAACACCTCAGCAGTTGCAGACGGCGCTCAACATGCCTGGGTGACATACAGGGGGGGACACAACACGACGCAGGGGGAGTGAATGGCTACATCGCAGGGAACACGTGATAACGGAGGAGAAATGCGTCCAGATGTGCCGCCGAAGACTGAGCAGACTTGCGACGGGCCAGTCATGGCGGCAGGCTCGCAGATGCTGAGCCTGAGGCAGTACGAGGGTGAACACGAAAGTGTATCTCGAGACACCCAGAAGGATCAAAGTGATACCGGTGTCAAGGCAGTAGCGCTAGGTGGGAAACCAGGACCCGACCTCGCTACAACGGGACCGGGCGGGCGCAGAGGAGACTACGGCGACAGTCTCATCAGTGTGCGTGGTCTTTGGACACCTCTCTCAGAAGAAAAAAAAACGAGGGCTGCGAGAGTACAGACCCCTCGCACAGAGTGCTGCTCCACGTGATGATAAGTGATATATCGGTTAGTGTGGTGTGCCAGGAAAGTGGCAATACTAAGTGTGAACGCGCTCTATGTCCTGATGCGCGACAGGCACTTGGTGTGTGCTTAACGACCAGTGGCACAAGTGCGGGGGGTGTAGCGTGAACAGGCACGTGCGAGAAGCGAGGCAAGCACACGCGCAGTCATCAGATGGACTGAACAGATAGTCCAATGGCTACGTGATGCTAGGTTGACAGTGCGTACGATATGTGTGACTCGTAGATACAGGGTGACGGGGCCGCAAGAAGAGGAAGGGCAGCGGGCAACAAGAAAGAGGGCACAAAAGAAGAGACTAGAAGTATGTCGGGTCAATAAATCAGCGCGGGGCGAAAATGTATTCTGTATGATGTGTTTATAAGGGGGGTCTATCTAGCTTTCGGCGGGGAGGGTGGCGTGTGAGTGAGTGGTTAATTCCATGATGGGTGGATACACAACAGGTTTAAAGGAGCGCATGTGGCGCAGTGGTAGAGGTGCCTGCGCCGCATACGATCATGGTTCGATCTCGCGCTCATGGCTCATTAAGCCATCCATCCCTCCGAAGTCGGTAAATTTGTACCAGACAGGTCTCAGACTTGTCTGGGAGGATAAGCAGCACTGACTCGGTCCAGCGGGAGGCCTCCGCGAGTCATTGTAAAGGCCAGATATGCATTCAATCACCTCAAACGAAGTTAAAAATTGAAGTCGAATGCATGGCGCATCCCTCAGGGATTGATTAACGCCAAGAGCTTTATCCTTCATCCTTTTAAAGTAATTTAAATAGTGAATTTATACAAGGACGAAGCTTGGTTCAGTGAGTACTTTTCAGGCATACGGAAACAAATGAATAGTTCGACCTCATTCACCTGCACAAGAACTTTTCACGAGTGTTAATAATCATTCGAAAGCTGACACCCTGGCTAGCGCAGCACGTGGTTTTCAAAAGGCTCCTTCATAACGCTACAAAGTTCTAAGTAGAATTAAGTTTCACACGCGCATATTTCTCATCGGACAGAGCTCCTTTTTCAAACAATTAGTAACGATTCGACAGCGTAGTGCTTGCTGAATCCAATGCTGTGCTTATTTTTTGAAGAAAGCGCTTCTCTGCAGTGCAGCTAGGAAAATAAGATCAATTCACATACTTGGGCAAGGAGATTTCGGCTATTCTACGGGGGTGGAGAGCCCAAAGCGGATGTGGCCGTTTCAACACGTCAATATGAAGATTAGCCCTTCCGCGGGCCATAAGAAAGTACGGCTTCTTGTATTAATCAGGAACTATTTCCCAAAACTCCAGATCAAACGTCTGACTGTAATACTAAAAGATTTTCTCTACACGCGAAGCAATAGTTGAACTGCAGGGCCCATGTGAAGAATAATTTTTTTTCGAATTTTACACCATTACAAAAAGGTGTCCTGAAAAATCGGCCTCATACGGCTCTAGCCAGAGATTTAATCTTTCAAAATAAACATTGCTATCAAAAATTTTTGTAGAGCGAATAAGGTTGAATATTCATTTGTACCTCTCATAACCGCAATTAACCGTAGGGTGATACAATCACTGAGGGTAGGCAAAACATGATGAGATTGGAAACAAAATTTTTCCCGAAAAACCGAACTTTTTTCGATTTCGGTATTATGAATCAATAATAGTTCTTCTATGGAAAACAGATACCACGAAACTGGTAAGCAAAATCTATTCGAGTAACGTTTCGTGGTTTTTGTCTTCGCGTCGGTGGTGCAACGGTTAGCATAACGCTCCCGGATAGAGTGGAGATCTGGGTTCGAATCCCGAATGACGCTAAAGTCTTTTTGCACAGCACTCCACATTATTGGGTTTATGTCTTCTTCAGAGTCGATAATTCGAGTCGTTCGTCCTTACGAACGATTGAACGACGAATGAAAGTGGACGATCGACTTAAAATCATCGACTCTGAAGAAGACGATGTACGTCGAAAACGTAGCCGAATAAACACTACTTATCAATCTCGTGGTTTCTCCTAAATCATAAAGGAAAATTGGGGGCGGTATTCTTTAGTTAGCTAAGAGATGATTGATGAATTTTCTTCACTACTCTCCTAAAGGAAAGCAAAAAAGGGGTTTGTACACTAACTCGCAGAGGACCTAAAGAGATACAAAATGAGCGGCGCCTTCTCCCACAGTACTCTGACGTGAGTTTGTCGACTTTGGAGGAAATGAAGGACCGATAACCCACCATGATAGTCGTGCAGTTGAACCAACGACCACGCGGTTGGTGGCACCTTTAACCACTGCGCTACTACGACCAATTTGAGAAGATATCTCAGTGAGATAAAACTGTGCTTTTACATATTTGAGAGCACCTCAATTTTAGAAATGAAACTTTGTCTCACAGAAGAAACAGAAATAGTGAGACAAACTAAACCCATAAAAGACAATTTTCAGCAAATAAACTCACATGAAGAATTCCTGGGAAGTCTTCTGGAAGAGACTTTTCTCAAAAGCCTTTTGCTCCTTTGTTGTTCCAAATGTAGACTTGTCGAAAATACTATAAAAAAAAACGATATGATTGACACTCGCAAAAGAATGTTTACGAACTCTTTTCAGTCTGATTTTCGTTGAACAGATTGATAACGAAATCTGATTATCGGTGGCAGTAGAGTATAGAGACGTCCCGATTCGTTACAGCACACTTTTAATTGATATTTCTTCAACGTCTCCACTTTTCCACGCAGTACTGAGGGCCACATAAAAATTCCTTCCGGCGAGAGTTGAACCCGCAGTTCACCTTACCGGGCCACTTAACCTACGGGTCAAAGGACTCGCACGCCATCCAACCTTGGTCTTACAGGCTTTCTTGTAGCCACTTGTTTATTCTTACGCTTACACAACCCTTGAATAAACCACGACCATGACCTATGAGGACAATTAAAAGGAAGAAGTAATTGCTTACTGGACAAAAACTGAAGTTACAGGCTTATCGCCTTCGAGGACGACAGTTGAGATCATTGCGCGCGGCGCGATTTCCGTTATCAACGAATAAACGCTTTTTTTCTCCATTTTGGGGAAACGTGAATTTGGAAAAAGATTCCTGACCAGTGAATGCTACCTCCGATGATCGCGTATCGAAAAGATGCACGTCGTCGAATCGGTTTGAACTACACCAACAAAAGAGAACTGTACGATTCTTTTCTGTTTAGAGAGCGACAAGAATATGCGACCCTATTATTCGCTGGACGAGAACTTCTCATTAGAGTGTTAGTAATCATTCGAAAGTTTGAATTTCGGCTAGCGCGGTATGTGGTCGGTTAATCGAAACACCCCTTTTATATCGCTGTCAAATTCAAATAAAATCACGTTTTACATTGGCCGCGATTTCAACTACTACTTCGTGGAACCACGAAAAGCCAAGATGAACGTCTAGAGGAAAATCGTTTAGTACTAGAGAAAGACGGTCAATCGGGAGTTTCTTTCAAAGCGGAGGAACAATTCCTAATTGAATAAAAAAAATCGCACTTTCCTATGGCCCGCGAAAGGGCTAATCTATCGACGGCCGTGTGAATCTGCCGCTTCTGCCCTAGCCCACCCCGTAGAATAGCCAAAATAACCATGCTCGCGTATGTGAATTCATCCTTATTTTCCCTGCTGCACTGCAGGAAAATGGTCGTTCCGGGAAATAGGAATAGTTTTGGAATCTGTGAATCCTACGCTATAGAATGATTACTGATAGTCTGAAGAAAGAGCTCTGCTTTGCTAAAAAAAGGGGTGTGTGGAGACACGTTTGCGTTTTGTTTCCCTTTCGTTGAAGCGTTATAAAAAGACTTTTTCTTGAAAAACGGCCACGCACCGCGCTAGCCAGAACTGAAGCTTTCGTATGATTAACACTCTTTTGAAATGTTCTTGTCCAGCGAATGGGGTCGAATATTCATTTGTCGCCGGCATAACATGAAAGTACCAACTCCGTCTTACGATTATTTCAATAAAGAGAAACAAGCAGCTGAAGACGGTAAAGACAAAGACGAATCTCTTTCAAAAGGATAAAGCTCTCGGCGTTGATCAATCCCTGAAGGGATGCGCCATGCATTCGACTTCAATTTTTAACTTCGTTTGAGGTGGACTGAATGCATATCTGGCCTTTACAATGACTCGCGGTGGCCTCCCGCTTAACCGAGTCAGTGCTTGCTTAATCCTCCCAGACAAGTCTGAGACCTGTCTGGTACCAATTTACCGACCCCAGTGGATAAATAGCTTGGTGGGCCATGAGCGCGAGATCGAACCATTGACCTCGTATGCGATGCAGAGCACTTCTAACCACTGCGCCACATGCGCTCTCTATTATAGGTGTAGAAAATCAAAGCACATCCATACATGAAGACAAATTCAATAGAAGGTCTTCTCATAGGTTTTGGCACTAAAGCAACAAACCCAAATTCGTTAGCCAGGGGCTTTTAGCTGGACTGTTAGCCGCCATTCGATAACCCAAACTTTATATCATTCTAAAATTGATTTTGTAAAGGCTTACAGAGAGCGCTGTCGAGCCGATTATACACTCGACTTAAGTAGCCAAATAAAGCCCATTATGATGTAGTTCAAGCGACGAGCTATCTACGCAGAGTTTAGAATGTGGTTGTCAATTTCAGAGCCAAAGTTGTTGAAATTTGGGCAATCGAATGACTAGTAACAATCCAGCTAAAAGCCTCTGGTCAATAAATTCGGTGTTCCCAGCCTTAGTGCCAAAATTTACGAGAAGACCTGATGGCGACGAGGTCAGCGCTAACCAGCGCCTCATAAAGTACGAACCCTTCTACAGTTGTCAGTCGGAATATAATGGATTTTTTTCTGACAGATGGACAGATTAATGACTTTTTAACAAATCACTTACAGGTGATATTTGGAAACCAACTATAAATGAGACTGGAAAGTACAGATAGGAGATGGTCCAGTGGTGAGTACTGGGTTCCTTCTCGTAAGCAGCCGCCTTACCGACCGTCTCGATGGATGAGCAGACGTACGTAAAGGCTCATGACCTGTCGTTTAGACAGACAAAATAGTCAAAATAATGTTTCTCCTACATTTTTGGTCGAGAAGATATCAGTCCACTGCAAAAGTCTCAGGCGGAAGACGGCTAAGATCGACAAAAGACAACCGTGCGGGATACGTATTGCAGTCAATGCGTACCGTCTCCAAACACGTGCGACGAAGGCAAAAGGTCTCAAAGCTGATCAATACCTGAGATATGCACCGTCTATTCTTCATCTAACAACGTTTCAGGTGACTGAATGTACATCTGACCCTTGCAAGGACCCGCAGTAGCTTATCAAGTATCAAATCAGTGCTGCTATCCTCTCAGACAGAGCGCATGTGGTGCAGTGGTTAGAGGTGCTCTACGTCGCACACAGGTTCACTGGTCCGATCTTGCGCTCATGGCTCACCAAGCTATCCATCCCTACGGATTCGGTAAATTGGTACCAGATTTGCTCTGTGAGGATAAGCAACACTGACTCAGTACAACGGAAGACCACTGCGAGTCATTGTGAAGGCCAGATATGCATTCAATCACCTCAAACGAAGAAATTGAAGACAAACGCGTGAGGCATCCCTCAGGGACTTACCAACGCCGAGAGCATTATAATTTTTCTTTATCATCTCAGACAATTCTGCTACCAATTCACCGACCCCAAATGGATGGAAAGCTTGGTGAGCCTAGAACAAAGGATCGAACCATCGACCATCGCTTGATCGATCATTTGTGTCGCAGAGCACCTCTAACCACTGCGCCACACGCACTCTTAATTAGCACTAATAAAATGCAAACAGAGATCTTTGAAAGAAAAAGTACCTTAGCAATAATCCTGTTACCATCCTGATCAAGAATCACAATGCCTTTTACACTGTAACAACGATGTTGGATCCTGAAAAAACATGCCTTGCTTAGCTATTACGTTTTATCAATTCAAAGAGGTACATCTGAATCACTTCACTCTTTATTCCAACTTTTCTAAGAAACATTTGACTCAAGGGTTGAAATCTTAAACTAAGAGCTTTACTAGGAATCCGTAAGATCAAATGGCGCAGGTGGTGGAGCGCCGACATTCCTGAAAAAGGGGCAAAAAACATAGGAGTGGTAGCAGAACAGCGGCCTCTCGGGGTTTAGTGATAGACACGGGTCCCCAGTATGAATGAGACTCAGGTTTAGATTCCGCCTTAGATCCAAAGTCTTGCATATGACACAGCATCTCCTGGATACGGAAGGTAAATTTGAGCCTCCAAACAGTAAGTTCACCACCTGTATTTTGACTTTCTTCCCTGCAGCTCTGAGTTATGCTTAGTGAAGAGGACACCGTAAAGTTATTCAGTACAAGGTGATGGATCACGATTAACAAAGAGAAGTTAGGTATTTTGCAGTGATAAGGGAAAAATGAAAAACCGACCTCATTCACTGGAGAGGAACTTTTCGCAAGGGTGCTAGTAACCCTTCGAAAGCCGAGATTTATGGCTACAGCCCCATATTGTCGTGCGGCTTTTGGAAAAGCTTTTTGTGACGCCGGTACAGGAGGTTCCTTGCGTAACAGACGCGCATATTTCTCGCCGCACAGCGCTCTTCCTCTGGACTTTTAGTACGTGGGCCGGCCAAAGACCTCCTTGCTCACACATGCAAATTCAACTTATTTCACCTGCTGCGGTGCAGAGAAACGATCTTTTCAGGATTTGTGCAGAGCGTTGGAATCAGCAATGATTACGCTATCGAAGTTTACTGATAGTCGAAAGAAAGAGCTCTCCTCGGCGAGAGATTTACGCGTCTGGGACTAGTTCTAATTTGGATT